AAACAAAAGCCATCAAATGCATTCGGCTCTCCTATGTCTTGACCTGCAAAATGCATTTGATTCTCTCTGGTGGCCAGCTGTCAAGCAGGCCCTCAGGGAGATGCAGTGTCCAAGAAACCTGTACCTTATGATTACGGACTATCTCAAGAACAGACAAAGCGTAGTAATCTATGACAATACCATAATCGCCAGAAAACAAACTAGAGGATGTCCCCAAGGGTCGTGTATGAGCGCGGACCTCTGGAACATCACCTTTAATAATATTATCGATCATCAGTGGCCAAATCACACAAGGATTGTAGCCTTCGCTGACGATGTTGCCTTCATAATCCAAGGATCTACACGAAGACAACTAGAGGAAAACTGCAACACCACCCTTAATATATTCAACTACCTTTGTCATAGAATAAAACTCCAAATATCACACATAAAATCGCACGCACTTATAATACACAAGCCAGGACAAACAATAACCAGGAATCCCACGCTACGAATTGGAAACAAAAATAAAATGTGTGAAGACCATTAAGTACTTAGGACTCACCATAGACCAGAAATTCAATTGGATACCGCATCTTCAGGAAAAGAAGCTAACCACCGCCAAAATCGCAAAAGCATTAAGGGCGATGAAAGGATATTCCTGGGGCCTTAATCATCGCATTATGAAAATTCTATTAAAGACAGTAGTCAATAAAATAATCACCTATGGAGCCGCTATCTGGGCCTTTCCCATGACAGCAAGAAAAATTCGGACCCTTAACTCAATTCAAAGACCTTTCTTGATCAATATTACCCGATCATTCTCAACAACCTCCACCAACGCACTACAAACAATAGCCGGGGTGACGCCACTACCAATTCAAACAGAAATCGACGCACTGTCCACAATCATCCTACAACTCAAGAAAACTTCGACGTACAACGGCGTAATTTTCAATCCACAAGAATATGAAGAAAAGCCATCGAAATATAACAGACATCCCGCTCTGGGTCTTCACAATCTCCATTGCAACCTCGACAAGCCACCTCCATCAACTGATTTTACTGCATACACGGATGGCTCAAAGATCGAAAATAAGGTAGGAAGCGGAGTCACCATAAAAACAAAAACAGGCCTCCACTCCGAATGGCAAGGTTACCTTCGGCCGCAAAACAGCGTATATCAAGCAGAGCTCATAGCCATACTAAACAGCATTATGCAACTTAATGACTTAAATACAGATACCATCCACATAATCACCGACAGTCAGTCTTCCATACATGCCATCAAACAACAGCACACAAATTCTCCTATAGCCCGGCAAATTCAAGACATCATAAGCACAAGTAATAAGAAATTTGTCCTGTCATGGACCAGAGGGCACAACGCCTGTGAAGGCAATGAAAGGGCCGATTATCTAGCAAAACAGGCAGCTCTAGAACAAACAGGATCTCAAATTCATATCCCATGGCCTAAATCAGCATTAAAATACAAACTAAAACAAATGGCGAATGAAAAGTGGCAAAGTCAATAGGAACAAGGACAACGTACATTTGAACTAGTACCCAAGGCTGATGAAAATACCACAATTTCAACCTACTTCCTCACCCAATACATCTCGGGTCACTGTCCCTTCCCCAAGTATTTTTACGATCGCAATATGGCTATGTCAGATAGATGCATATGCGGAGAATGCGGAGACCCAGAACATTATATGTTTCAGTGTCCGCTAACGTCCCCCCCCCGGGGGTTGACTCAGGCGAAGGCCTGGGAAGTACTGGCTAGGATCTGTACCTAGGCAGTCTCAACCACAGGGGTATACAAATTATCTTCACAGGACTAGAACCCGAGAGTATTGTGCTCAGGTTGGTTCAGGCTTGGCAGGGACCGTACTGCCACTGTCGTGTCTGTTCCTTCGGCTGTGGTGGAGCTACATAGTACATTTGTCGACTGAGTTCCCGGGGGTTTGACCCCATTCAGTTTTCGTGGCGGGGACTGACAAAGCGGACAGAGCACCTTATTACAATGTAGTTTTGCCAATGGAGTGGTGCCCGGAGGAAAGGTGACAGCGTTATAAAATTTGCAACGAAGCGTTCTGGCAATACTTAGTAAAAGCTAGACAGGGATTGCGGGGGTTGCACCCGCGAGAACAAAAGTCCCACGGGTGTTGGATATCAAACTCTTTATGGGTTCCGTATAATGAGGACCTCGGTGGGAGGTCCTTCACCCGGTGTGTCTGTCCGCTAACGCCAGCCCATCACATTCACCATCCCACCAACACTGGAATAGAAGAAGATTCATTATTAAGCACCATGAAGTTTTCCAAAACATCAAAAATATTATTGCTTTCTTACACCACCAAGGACTGGACCTGTGTCATCCATAGCTTACAACCCCAAATAATCCTCTAAGTTCATAAAACGCAACAATAAGAATAACCACTCTCACCCTCATACTATACAGGAGTGCCTTTAGAAAACACACTTAAATATATCCATTTATTGAGACAACCGTAACTTTTCTTACACCATGAACTATGAACTACTTCATACTGTGCAATGTGTAACACATGTACCAGTACTACGTACTCAACATTATGTACCATGAAATGAATTCATAAACTGTATGCTGTATTACGATCTGCACTATGAATGATAACTTATAAACTGTGAATCGTGTAACAAAAACCAAACAAACAACGAACCACATACCATAAACACTCCCCCACCCACCAACAAAGCTCCAAACCGAAACACAAAAGAAATATGTATACAGTCAAAAGTCGTTAATTCGGACACCCATAATTCGGAATGATCTATAATCCGGACCTCAAAGCTAAAAACTTTCTGCGCATGCTCCGCGTTGACACATGCGCATAGGCGTTTACGCATGCACGTAAGACCTCTTACGACTGCGCATTTGCGTGTGCGCAAGCGCAGAATACGTTTTCACGTGCGCGTTTTATGTATAACGGACGGTGTAAGCGCTAAAATTATCTAATTATCTATTTCAGTTAATGTTGATGATTGCGCTGTTCCTCAATTTTCAAATTGGATCCGGCTTATTATTTTTTGCAGACTGTAAGAGCAATACTAAAAAAGTAAACTTGAACTTTCGATTATGTCAAATAGAATTTTTTGATTCTGGAGCTCCCAAAGGATCGTACAAAACGAAGTATGTTTCGATGTCCATCAAACAAAAAGTGGAATTGCTGCAAAAATGGAAAAGACATGAAGAATGTGACAGAGAGGTTAGTGAAACGAAAAAATTTCGATTGACAAGTAGTCGGTATTCTCGGCACAGCAATTAACGGGACTTGAACAGCGGAACTTTGTAAGTGAACAAAAAATTATGTCTGTTTATAGAATTAAAGAGAAAGTATTATCACATAAAACGAAGCAACTTAAACACTTAATTGAAAGAAATGTTTAATAAAGTAAACAAATAAATATTAAGCTTTTTTTGTAAATTTTGATATACCCTTTAGATCATAATTTTTTTCTTTATTTCATAATTAACGGTTTCATATTTTTAATTTTAGAATTTCTGCATGCCATCTTACGCAATTTAAACTGATGATCTATAATCCGGAAAATCAATATCGGAATCGCCGAAGTCCCAACGAGTCTGGATTAACGACTTTTGACTGTATACATCTGTAAATAACTTATTGTAATTATTGTATCTATCCATCCAACTGCAAAGTACCCGTGTAAAGTATATCTGAGACAATATTGTCTGCAATGCAAATTATGCACCATTAATGTATAACAGTGTATTATGAATGCTGCTTGCTGCAATGTAAACTAATTCCCGAGCATAATGTTAGCGTACCCGGTCAGGGTACACTTCTATAGATGGTTAGTGCAGTGAGGCGATACCAGTTTTGCCCATGGCAATGTTTTGGTGCCTCCTGTACTTCTTTCTTTCTGTCTGTCTGTCTGCTAGATCACAGGACCTATCACACCTGGACTTCGTCTGGGGTCAAATGAAGGCATTAGTGCACAAGCCCCCCCCCATTGATTCAGTTGAAGACCTCATCGCTCACATCTCTGTAGCTGCCATGGTGATACGAGATACACCAGGACTCTTCCAGAATAACAGAAATTCCATGCTGTGAAACCTGTGTCACTGCTTCTGGACATCATTTCAAACACCTTCTGTAGCATACATATTTTTGCCAGTGTAAAACTTGTAATAAAATTAATTCTGTTACACTAATGTGATGCTGTTTCTGTTTTTTTTTTTTTTTTTTTTTTTTTTAACCATAGCTCGGGTAGAAGGCATTTCGAATCACGCACCCCTTTGTGCCCCCTACATCTCCTGTAAGTTTGTTGCACCAGTAGTGAATCATGCTGTATGTGATGAATAACATCATGTTATATTCATAACTTGAGAACAGAATTTTGATAGCCTGCTATGTACCTCTCTAATTTTGTATATTATGCACTTAAGCATATATGTATAATGCAGTTTTGTTTTCCACATCAGCATTTTATTTATTCAATATATCTTGAATTATTAATATATGTTTGAAAATTGGCATGGTATATGCAATATATGTCAATAGAACAAGTTTTTTAAATATTTACATATGTGAGTATAATGTAGAGTTAATATATTTTCTGTCTTGTTAAAATAAATATTCAGCAGCTACGATCAATCAAATAACCGCAAATTTATTTTAAACGTTTATCATAGTTTCTGAACATGACAGACATTCTCCTATATCATCACCATTCAGTGTACCTCTTATACTCAAATTTGTTGGGTATTGCTTATTTATATCACAATTTTGTACTCTAAGACTTCTGCAGTGATGATGACAAATGGCATATCATGCTTTTCTTGTTTGTGTAATTAAAGTGCATTCTATATTTTACCTGTATCTATTTCATATCAGTGATGATTTTCTGAAAAAAATCTACATAAATGCTATTTTTTAAGAATCCTTAATTTTAAATGGAGAATATTAGAGAAATAAAGTATTATATATACATAAAGAATAAGCTTCCATTACCTATGGTTATATCTCTTGAGCTTCTGTAGACCATATTTCCCATCAGCGCCACCTTTCGATACAGGCAAACTTTCAAGATTAAGCATTAACTGATTAATGGAAGAACGTAACTCTTCTATATACAAACTCTCCATTTCCTTGAGCACAAACTTAGGCATCAATTTTCGATTCTGAAATAAAATAAAAAAATATAAGCAACATAAAACATAGATAGTATGAAATATATTCTGTTTTAAATAAGACACATTTTTAAATGATAGAATTAATTATTAGGATGCATCAACAATGCTGGTCAACAAAGATTTTATTAGAAAATAAGTAAGGTTTGTTTCCTGTATATTTATATAGACTGATTTCAAACATGTGCTCAGATTTTTGCTAACATTACTAATTTCTGAATGTAAACACTCGTTGACATCACTCAATAGTATGTAAATGTTTATTAGAGTACACTGAAATTTAAATGAAATGTATGTTTGTAACCATTCTTCTATAAACACAAACATGGCTATCTCTAAAAATATTTATTAACAGAGCACAGGAATAGTTACAAAGAAAAGATACATAAAAACAGAACATACACCAAAATGGAACACCTAACATTTAAAATTAATGTTCAAGTCACAGAGGTATAAAATTGGAGAACATATTCTCACTGCAGCTGGAGGTCGACTGACTGTAAATTGTTCTTATTTCCACTAGATGGCGTTCGATAAAATAGTTTGGTTACATTCAAATAGTTCTCTTACATGTTGAATTTTCAACAAAAAATGGTTGGGTTTCGGTTTGTGAATTCTTCTGAATTCTGACTTTTTATTTTTCTATTTTATTTTTATTTTACACTGAACTGCAATCACAAATCAACGTACGCATCTTAAAAATGGGGGGAAATTCCCATTAGCATCATCAGCCATATTGTCAATGTTGAAAAAATTCTTGAAAATCAATAATTTTACCAAAGATTTGATACAAAAGTCAAATAATTCCAATGATCTGAATAAAATAAGTTTCTTTCAAGATTTTAATTTAGCTATACAAAATATTGCTGCTTCTTTGGCAAATGGACACTATAGACAAGAAAAATCACTGAACCTAAAAACATTGTCCAAAATGAGCCTTGAGCTGTAAGTTTCATATCAACATAGCACTTGTAGACCTTGTAACACTTTATCATATTATAAGGTAGGATTTATAGGAAACGTTCAGGAAACTATGATTTACTAGAAGCTTCAGAAAATGAATGAAAATGGTAATGTTTCACACACCTGAAAGGCACATTTTCTGATGATATAAAACAGAAAATGGTAATTTTATGGGACCATAAAATACAGAATTATCCCTGCATGAGAAATTCCGTCAGAAGCTGAATACAATCAAAGAACCTACATGCCGATCTTTCACAAATATTTGTAAAGATTTCCTGTAGAAGAACAAACAACTATTTAAAAAAATAGAGTTGAAATTATACAAGATAGAGGAAACCACACATCTTCAACCTGCACACCCATTTAGATCTCATTTTTTGTGATCTTAAGAAAAGTAAGCAATGAAGAGCACTTTCATCAGTTCATGATACAGAGAAAAACTATCAATGCTATTGAAGAATAAGCTTGACTTCAGCTCAGCCTGTAACTCATATTTTTCTCAAATTAAGTACAGCAAAAAGTTACATATTTCACTTTTTCAGTGATTTATCCTCTTAATGCTTCTTAATTTATTACACATGTAAATATATTTACATTTTGTGAAAACTAACTGTGTCACAAAATGAGCTTGTATAACAAGAAAATTCTGATTAATTACCTGGATTCAATTAAGGAAAATTTTATATAAAATTTTGGTCTATATGATAAGAAAGTAAAAAAAGTGTTCCTAGGTGAAACATGTATTCTTACTATTAAATGTATAAATGTACACTAAATTTAATACAGCAAATTTAAAATTAAAAATAAATTTAAATATACTTTAATAAACTGTACCTTAAAGCTGTTAAAAACCATTTTGTTTAAAAAGACAGATTATTCTCTTTTCAATAATAATAAAATCTGTAAAAAGTACTTGTACTGTCCTAGCAAAATCCTTTTAATATACAAATGTTTCAAATACTGTATGGATTGGAAAGAGATTTCAAAAGCAGCAACAATTACATAAATACATAGGTAGACTTTATTTAAAATGTTAGCTAATTATTTTCGTCCGAAAATTTTGTTGCTATAATTATCAAACAGTATTCCCCTCACCCCATTTACTTCAGTTTTACTTAGTAAATATTAGTGTTATATATATATATATACACACATTTGTTTCACACTTATTGTTTCTTTCAAGCAATTTTATTATTTCAAGCAATTTCCTACTTATTTACAATTTCAAGTACCATTTCAAGCAATTTACTATTTCTTTCAAGTCATCATCTGGCAAAATATCTAACTAATCCTGATAAAATTTGTTCTTCAACATTTGGTACACCTTCACCCTTCTTCACTTGCTGTGCACTTAATGAATTTTCTTGAGTTCTATTAACTGTGCTGAAATGGATGGCAGGGGATGTCTTGTCTTGTAATTTTTATGACAGCAAATTCCTCTATCTGCATCCTTAATGACAGCTGTTGTCTAAAATGCTCCCAAGATGCTTTGTGAGCAAATAACTCTTTTTAGCTGCTTTTATTTTCATTCTGTATGCAATTATGCTTAAAAGTTTCCATAATATAATAGTAACATCATAGTAACTTTCCATAATATAAATAATTATAATGATATTTCTGAATATTTTAATTCCACTGACAGTAATGGAGATTTAGAAATCACAGAGGAAGTTAATACTGAAATCAGATGGTTGAATGATAACACATAGATCATTCAAAGTGATGAAAGCATTGAAGAGAATGTTGATAAAACTGAAATAGCAAACTGCTTTGCCAAGATAGTAAAACAATCTGATGAGAAAAGTTCATAACGTTATTACATACTTGTCTGGAATGAATTTTTGATATTTTCCAGCTTATTTTAATATGCTGAAGTTACATAAAAAGTTCTGACATTAATTTTATAATAACAGTAGCTCAAGAAGCATGCATTTATTATACACCTATAATCTACAACTTAATTTTTAACACATTAATTGTTAAAACGTAACAATGATATTTAAAACCCTTCATCAGTGTATTACAAATGGCAAAAAGTTAAAACTGTCACATATTATGAATTCATAATGTTCTGCTATATATGAAGTCAGATGAAGACAAAATTTGAACTTCAGCTTAAATCAATAAGAATTTTTTTTCATAAATCATAAGAACATAAGAATTTATGAGATCATTCATAAATCATACAAAATCATAACATAAATATTGCCTATTCTGCTCTAAGTAAACATAACTGTGATAAAAAATCTACATTTCCTATGATGCAAACATTTATGAACATGTTAAATTGCTCACAAAGCAAATATTAAAATTTGCTGAGTGTTTCAGTTCATCAACACTTCACTCTAAGCAGACACTCTCAAATGGCTCATAGCTCCTTACAGCCTCCAATTTAAACCAAAACCAAAGAGAGAAAGCACTCCCAAAATAATGAAGGATATCACAAATGTGTGTATGTTATGAAAACTTCTAAAACACCACTCAGCAGCAAGAAAGCACAACAAGATGAATGGATAGTACCTTCAGTATGTTAAGTTTTTTCAATTTAGATAGCTTATATTGAAAGAAAAGTTTAATAAAGCAAACAAATAAATACTGAACTTTTTTTTAACTTTTGATTCCCTTAAAGCAAAAATGTCTCTTTATTTCACAAACCACTATTTCATATTTTTTATTTTATAATTTCTACATGTTGTCTTACTAGATTTTAAATGATGATCTAATATCAAGAAAAATCCCAAATCCAGAATCACCAAAGTCCTGATGAATCCAGATCTCCAACTTTGTACTGTGTTACATTTCCATTACTTTATTAATTTTATATAATCATCAGATATATTAGATTTTCGATAATCTTCTGTTATCTGGATTGAACTGTTATCTGTTATCTGGAACATATGTTTTCATGAATGTATATGTGCATATGTATGTGTGTGTATACACTCATATATGCACATATATACGTACATACATACATACATTTTTTAATCTGGTCCCGATAAAATAGAAGAATACCAGATTTACTTTTAGTCTTCATTTTGGGTATGTAATTACACTACTCAGAAGGCAGTACAGGACAAGAAATCAGGTAACTATCTTTATGATTGTAGTAGTTTGGCATGTTAAGTAGCATATAACAACAGAACATAAACACAAAATAGCTATAAAATACGAGGGCTATCCAGAAAGTAGATTACGTTTTGGAATAAAAAAATAAACAAAGTATAGGAAACAAATTTTATTATATACAGATGAAAGCCACACTCAAATACTACTTTTCTACATAGTCACCATACAAATTAAGGCATTTATCGTAGCGATGTACGAGCTTGGAAATTCCTTCGTCGAAAAATTCGGCCGCCTGCGCCTTCAACCACTTCGTTACCTCTTCTTGCAGCTGTGCGTCGTCATCAAAACGCTGCATAGCCAGCCACTTCTTCATTGCTGGGAATAGGTGGAAGTCGCTCGGTGCCAGGTCGGGACTGTACGGCGGATGAGGAAACAACTCCCACTTAAAAGATTCAAGAACTTTACGAGTGACATTTGCCGTGTGGGGCCGGGCGTTGTCGTGAATCAACAAGATCTTAGAGCTCAACATTCCTCTGCGCTTGTTTTGAATTGCTCTTCTGAGTTTTTGGAGAGTTTGGCAATACCTTTGAGAGTTTATTGTAGTGCCTCTTTCCAGGAAGTCCACCAAAATTACACCTTTTCTGTCCCAAAAAACAGTCGCCATCATCTTCCTTGCCGACATTGTTTGCATGCATTTCTTGGGTTTTTTGGGGAGAACTTGTGTGCCCCCACTGCATTGATTGCAATTTCGTTTCACAGTTCACATGTTTCACCCATGTTTCGTCACCAGTAACGATGCGATCGAGTAAAGAGTCACCATCCTTATGGTAAGCGTCCAAAAAGTTCAACGCTGCAGCCATTCGCTGATTTTTGTGGTCCTCTGTCAAGATTTTTGGAATCCATCTTGCACAAAACTTGTGGTAACCAAGCTTTTCGCTGATGATTTCGTGCAACAAACTTCGCGAAATTTGTGGAAAACTCAAAGAAAGTTCCGTTATTGTGAAATTTCGATTTTCACGGACTTTAGCATCGACTTTTTCGAGAAGTTCGGCGGTCACTATGCTGGGTCTCCCACTTCGATCTTCGTCGTGAACATTGGTTCGGCCATTTTGAAATCTTATGACCCACTGACGCACTCCACCTTCAGTGATAATGTTGTCCCCATACACTTCACGAAGCTGCCGATAGATTTCTATCGGTTTACAGTTTTTTTGCAGTCAGAAACCTTATTACTGAGCGCACCTCGCAGCTCGCGGGATTTTCAATTAACGCAGACATTTCAAACCGTCACAGTATCTGAACGGAGCACAGCACGAACCTCTCACTAGCACGGCTAGATGCAGACTGAGCTGCGCAACGCTCTGACCCCAAGATGGCCGCGCTAGCCCCGCCCCTAGCGGACACAGACGGAAACGTAATCTACTTCCTGGATGGCCTCGTAGTACTTTTCATTCGCCGGCAAATAAAGCAGACTTTGTGACAAATCGGATACACATAAAAAATTTTACAAGAATTTTTTTGAACATAAACAAATAAAATTTAAAAAGCCAATAAATAAGACATAAATTTGTGAAAAGCATTATTTAAGAATTTACTATGCTTTCATGGTTCAACATCCTGATTCGCCGGTTTCATATCATGTTGATCCCAAGTGATCTCATCTCACGTAAACTACACTACAAAAATCTAATGCTCTCAGTAATTATTCTACATTGATTTCAAGTTAAATTCTTAATTTGGAATACAAGTTTAAATGCAAGAAATATTTCAATTCGTATAAATAGCTTACTCAGAAATTATGTAAAACCTGCAGTGCTTTACTTCGCTTAATGCATTCTCATTAGAATTGATGAATTTAACCCTTGATTTTGCCTTTTCTATATTTTCGGCTTTGGGGGGAGCGGCTGTGATTGCATCCTAATATGACTTAATTACTGCGAAAATGGTCTTAGACATAAAACTGAACTATCTGACAAAAATTCTATGTAATTATATGCCAGTATTGAAAGAAACCAATCAATCTGATAAGAAAAAGCTGCGACTTGTTTGAAAATGAGGCGTAAAAGGTTACCAGTGAGAATATTCCGTTTGGCAACGGTTGTACCATTATTGGCGACTTTATCGCTTGCGCCGGTAAAACGGAAAAGTACCAATAAATTTTAAAAAACTAAATACAAAAATATTAACAGTTAAAATTAAGCAACACTAAATACACAAGTTATATATATATATACAGTCAAAAGTCATTAATCCGGGCTGATCAAGACTTTGGCGATTCCGGATTATCGATTTTTCCGGATTATAGATCATCATTTTAAATCTGGTAAGATGGCATGCAGAAATTATAAAAGTATGAAACTGTAATTTATGAAATAAAGAGCAATTATGGTGTAAAGTGTATCAAAATTTACAAAAAAAAAAAAAAAAAAAAAAAAAAGCTTAATATTTATTTGTTTACTTTATTAAACATTTCTTTCAATGTAAGTTGTTTAAGTTGCTTCGTTTTTTGTTATAATACTTTCTCTTTAATCTATAAACAGACATAATTTCTTGTTCAGTTACAAAGTTCCGCTGTTCAAGTCCTATAATTGCTGTGTCGGAATACCGACTAATTTGTCAACGAAATTTTTTGTTTCAATAGCCTCTGTATCACTTTCTTGACTATCGGAAGCGAATTATAATGATAAGGAATTTGATTTAAATCATATCAAAGATGGAGTACATTGAGATGAAATACTACATTTAGAGAAATTAAGCCCAATAAAATAAAAACATCTGCCCTGATGTTAAGGATAGTGCTGATAGATCAACTTCCAGTTCATTGCACGCCGCGACGTCCCCCCCGTCCCCCCCACAGAGCAGCGTGAAATTGATAAACCGATTTCGGAATGGTTAGAAAACAAAGAATATGCTTTTATCCATTTTTTGCAGCAATTCCTTTTTTTTTTTTTTTTGATAGACATCGAAACATACTTTCGCTTTGTAGATCTTTGAAATCTATTTGACATAATCGAAAGTTCAAGCTTACTTTTATAAAATTGCTCTAACAGTCTGCAAAAAATAATAAGCCGGATCCAATTCAAAGATTAAAGAACAACGCAATCTGCAACATTATCTGAAATAGATAATAGAGCTTAGCTTATACCATCCGTTATACAGTCAAAAGTCGTTAATCCGGACTCGTCGGGACTTCGGCGATTCCGGATTATAGATCATCAGTTTAAATCGCGTAAGATGGCATGCAGAAATTCTAAAATTAAAATATGAAAACGTAATTTATGAAATAAAGAACAATTATGATCTAAAGGGTATCAAATTTAAAAAAAAAGCTTAATATTTATTGTTACTTTATTAAACATTTCTTTCAATGTAAGTTGTTTAAGTTGCTTCGTTTTATGTGATAATACAGTCAAAAGTCTTTAATTCGGACACCCATAATTCGGAATGATCTATAATCCGGACCTCAAAGCTAAAAACTTTCTGCGAATGCTCCGCGTTAACACATGCGCATAGGCGATTACGCGTGCATAAGACCTCTAACGACTGCGCATTTGCGTGTGCGCAAGCGCAGAATACGTTTTCACATGCACGTTTTATGTATAACGGACGGTGTAAGCTAAAATTATCTAATTATCTATTTCAGTTAATGTTGATGATTGCGTTGTTCCTTAATTTTCCAATTGGATCCGGCTTATAATTTTTTGCAGACTGTAAGAGCAATACTAAAAAAGTAAACTTGAACTTTCGATTATGTCAAATAGAATTTCCGAATCTGGAGCTCCCAAAGGATCGTACAAAACGAAAGTATGTTTCGATGTCCATCAAACAAAAAGTGGAATTGCTGCAAAAAATGGATAAAGACATGAAGAATGTGACAGAGAGGTTAGTGAAAACGAAAAAATTTCGATTGACAAGTTAGTCGGTATTCTCGGCACAGCAATTAACGGGACTTGAACAGCGGAACTTTGTAGGTGAACAAAAAATTACGTCTGTTTATAGAATTAAAGAGAAAGTATTATCACATAAAACGAAGCAACTTAAACAACTTACATTAAAAGAAATGTTTAATAAAGTAAACAAATAAATATTAAGCTTTTTTTTGGAAATTTTGATACCCTTTAAGATCATGATTGTTCTTTATTTCATAAATTACGGTTTTATATTTTTAATTTTAGAATTTCTGCATGCCATCTTACGCGATTTAAACTGATGATCTATAATCCGGAAAAATCGATAATCCAGAATCGCCTAAGTCCTGACGAATCCGGATTAACGACTTTTGACTGTACTTTCTCTTTAATTCTATAAACAGACATAATTTTTTGTTCACTTACAAAGTTCCGCTGTTCAAGTCTCGTTAATTGCTGTGCCGAGAATACCGACTAACTTGTCAATCGAAATTTTTTCGTTTTCACTAACCGCTCTGTCACATTCTTCATGTCTTTATCCATTTTTTGCAGCAATTCCACTTTTTGTTTGATGGACATCGAAACATACTTTCGTTTTGTACGATCCTTTGGGAGCTCCAGAATCAAAAATTCTATTTGACATAATCGAAAGTTCAAGTTTACTTTTTTAGTATTGCTCTTACAGTCTGCAAAAAATAATAAGCCGGATCCAATTCGAAAATTAAGGAACAACGCAATCATCAACATTAACTGAAATAGATAATTAGATAATTTTAGCGCTTACACCGTCCGTTATACATAAAACGCGCACGTGAAAACGTATTCTGCGCTTGCGCACACGCAAATGCGCAGTCGTAAGAGGTCTTACGCCGCATGTGCGTAAACGCCTAATGCGCATGTGTCAACGCGGCGCATGCGCAGAAAGTTTTTAACTTCCGGATTATTCTTCCGGAGGTCCGGATTATAGATCATTCCGAATTATGGGTGTCCGAATTAACAACTTTTGACTGTACATTAAACGCACATGCGTAAACGTATTATACGCATGCGCACACGCATATACGTATGAATTAAAGTATTACGCGCATGCGTGGATGCATTATGCGTTGACGCATGCGCAGAAAGTTTGTAGCTTTGAGGTTCGGATTATAGATCATTCCAGATTAACGACTTTTGACTGTATACAAAACTATACAAACATAAATATTTACATAAATTACCATAAAGCAAACATAGTATGGTATTACTGCAGTTATTTATTTAAAATTACTCCTGTTAACAAAATCCTTCATGCAATTCTGAAAAGCAAACTTATTTAAGTTTTTAAGAAACTGGGAAAAAAATATCCAATGCAAAGATATTACTTTTTAATATTTAGGTTATCTTGTCTAGGTATGTGTATATGTTTTTATAAATTATTTGTGATTACTTATTATATTAAATAAACAGAAAGCAGTACATTTCTAACATTAGTTTTCTAAAAGTAGTTTGAATTGAATGTGAAAGTTAATATTTTGTCACGGTTATAATACCTTTTCCATCTCATTCACTTTTTGTATTCTGCCATCTAGTTCTCGTCGTATAGCAGCAGCTTGTTCATCTTGAGAATCCAGCTAATTTAAAATTATGAAAAATATATACAAATTAGATGTTAGCTGTTATGTTACTGATCAACATGAATGCAAAGACATTTTTAAATACTGAAAACTAAAAGAAACACTGACGTTGGATCACTTCAGCTAAGAACTAAAATTGTCTACTTTACATAATTTAAACTCCAAAAAAAGAAATTAGATCGTGTAATTAAAATTATATTATTAAATCAGATAACTATACAATGATACTATATGAATTACATTCTGAAAAATTGAATTCTGAAAAAGAAGAATTGCATTATATACATTCCAAACAAGAAAATATGCAGGATATTCATAAATTATTTCATAGGATAACATATCAAAATATGTCGACTGAAAAAGTGTTTTAAGAAAAAAAGTTACTCATTGCATTCATTGATTAAAACATTTTCATTGCATATTATTCAGTTTATTGGCAAATTTTTATATTGAAACAATGCTGAATGGTGCATAGATATCATCAGAACATAAATGCAATAAGCCACAACAAATTCCCCCTTGTTCTGTTCTCGGAGCTTTACTACAACCCTCTCAAGAACTGTAAAAAAAAAAAAGAAAAAAACTGCTAAAATATAGACTGTATGCTTGCAGAACCCTTAATACTGCTCATATGGTCATGATAACACTTGATTTCATCAGGCTATATGCAACAGGAACTGCATGCGGTGCTACTTTGGTAGACGGTAGCACAGATTTTGACGATTTGTTGGCGATTTTTCTTTTGGCAAGTAATACAACTTATGGTAAACCCATTGATGGATAAGTTATTTATGGTAACTGATACTTTGTTGTCATTTTATTTAAAAAATAATGTGTTTTATTGTGCATAAATTCCGGGTACAACTCTAATATACGCCCTAATTTCACCAAATGTGGCGATATGTGTTTTGTGCTGGTTTTTGGCACGATTGCGTGTTCTATGGCAACCCTGTTGACGTTGAAAAATCTTTCGCTGGAGCTCCGTTGGATTCACCTCTGTGTCTGAGAAAGATAGGGAGGGAAAGATAAAATGGTGGAATTTGTTGAATTGAAGTTCGGCAAAAGGAAATATCATTGTGGCTATCCTGTTGAGGGGTAGTGGGTATTTGGAAGTGTGGAAAGGTCTGGGAGATTATTTTTAATGGCAGTGCATGATAGAAGTAGGGATTTGTGAATTTATTTATTTGTGAACCATAGTATAAATTTTCTGGATAGTGTGTCTGGCTGTCATGTAAATACGATAGTGATTACGTGGCGGCATGTTAAAGGCGATATGAAATTTATATTTCTGCTATTTGAAAACGCATTAATTCATGGTAAGTGCATTTTATTTTATCCTTGTTCTTATTTTGTAGAATGTTATGTTCATTGGTTCTTTAGTATGAATTTCTGTCGTTATTGATGTTTTTTTAAATTGTCTGAAATTTATTTTGTTGTTTAGTGTCTAGACTGTGCAATTCGTAGATGTTTTTTAAAGTTGAAACAGAATGCTGTGTACATAGTATTATTTGAAATTTATTGTTGTTATTTTATTAAAGCGAGGAGTGCGTAGATCGTAGATTCCTTCCTTGCCTAAATTGTGCAATTCGTAGAATTTTTTTTAAGTTTAAACAGGATGCTGTGTACATGGTATTCTTTGAAATTTATTGTTGTTATGTTAATTTATTAAAGCGAGTTGTGCGTAGTTTGTAGATTCGTTCGTTGCCTACATTGTGCCATTCGTAGATGTTTTTTAAGTTAAAACGTGTCGCCGTGTACATGGATTCTTGTCAAATATTTTTGGTTAGAAACTTTACGTTTTTGCTATCTAAATTTTTTGTTTTTGTTTCGGATTTTTAGCTAAATTGTATGTTTAAAACGTAGTTTTTGCATGTGCGAAAACCGCGTTTTTGGAGACATTTTAGGCTAAAAGTTCGAAATGTAAACAAAAAATTTAGATAGTAATATGGCAGCGTGAAGTTTCTCGCCAAAAATATTTGGCGACTTGAGGGCGCATATCAGAGTAGTTCCAAATTCCGTGTTTTAAATATTATTTATGGCTTCTAAATATTAAAAATCAATTTAATTTTGCATTTTTATTTGAAATAAAAATTTTATTGTTTATCATATTTTATGAAATTTTATATTGTGGATGATGTAACCAATGACGTCACCTTACTTTAAAAGTAATTGGTTTTTATACGTATAAATTTAATCTAATGTTTTAAACATTATTTATGGCTGTTAAATATTAAAATACAATTTAATTTTGCATTTTTTTTGCATTTTTTTAAAAATGATTTTATTATGTATGAATTTTTAAATAATTTTAATTCTAGGCGTGATGTAATAAGCTCTCTGATTGGTTATAGAATATTTGTGCATTAACAAGCTATAATCAGCTCTCTGATTGGTTTCTGAAAATTTGTGCATTTCCGCGCCGTTTTGAAATTTAATTCATATCTTCGAATTCCTTGAAAGATGTCTTCAAAGATGTTATTTAAATTATGATTCCGATTTTTTTTTTTGTGGTACTTATCAATAAGAAATAGGTTAAATGACTAAAAAAAATGTAAGTACATATTTTTCCTTTATTTTATAATTGTATACTTCAATTTTTTGTTGAAAAAATTAATACACTATTTTCAAAAATTGCTGAGATAATTATTGTCCATATATTTTAATGTTAATTATATTCTATATAACGTATTTTAAAGTATTTGAATTTAATAATATTCTAATTCTTTTAAATGTTGGTATGATGGTTTTTAATTCAATATTCAATTTCAGTAATATTTTAATCTAATTAAACGTTGGCACAATGTTTTTATAGCGGTGTTTTTATTCTCTTTGCTATATGAAAGTAATAGTAACCTTACTTTACTATTTTATACTCATAGTAAATGTATTTATTTACCCTTGCTGCCATCTTAAAAAGCGACATTTTCAACAAAAAATTAATCCATTACTTTTAATGATATTTTTTTTTTTTTTAAGTTTGAATACTTTACTATGCGTAAAAACAGCGTTTTTCAAGATGGCTGACGTTTGTAAAAATCGCGCCAACAATTGCGCCAACGTAAATCGCCAAAAATCCGTGCAACCGTCTACCAAAGTAGCAACCTGCAAGCAAACATAAAAATGGCCTGTTCATTAAAAAAAAAAAAAAAAAAAAAAAAAAAAAAAATCCGACATACTTTTTAGCACAATTTTTCAGTAAGAGTAAACATGATCAGCGATATTAGTAAATTTTTCAACAGATATAAAATTGTAAAACTTATCTAAAACGTCCATGCAGATGTTTGTTAACCCTTAACTTCCCACTGTTGCATTTCTGCAACATATGATTTATTTTAATTTAACAGACTCAATATTTTTTTTTAATTACCTACAAATCACTTATCTAAGAAAAAAAGGTTACTGCAACAAAATACATGCTAAATTTGTCACAGATAGCAGCACATTTTTTTCAGAAATCACAACAATTTTAAAAATCTCTGATGCCTCAAGAACTGTGTTTTTGTTATAAAAAAATACATTATATTTTATGCTTCCTCTTGTTTATTGACGAAAACAATTACCAGGTAAGAAGTTTAAACATTTTATGTTCATTTAAAAGTAATTTTGATTTTCTAATGGAAAAAGTTTGAAAGAAATTTGATTTTAATTATATGTTGCAGGTCTGCAACATTGGTTTTTGGTTACCATTTTGACATGGCCAAAAAGCGTATACTAACCCAAGATGAAATTGCTAGATATGTGAATAATTTGGACAAATTGAGTGATTTAAGTGAGGATAGTCTTGAATATTCTGCTGATGATGTTCATTTTTTACTTGATTGTGTGTCATCTAATGATGATTCGGATAGCGACTGTGAAAACAGTGTTGTTTTACAAAATACAATTCAGAATATAAAAAAATCCGATGATGATGATAATAAATTTGGTAGAAATATTTCAGTCAGTCTGTGTGTGTGTGATTATGGCAAAGCCTCGAGAGCTATCTGCCTATGGGGAGGGATGCCTTCGTGGAGGATTTTCTAAGGGAAACTGGCTTGTATACAAGTTACACATGGGGAAAAACACGAAAACGAACTACCAGTGTTCAGCGACTTTACCGCTGGTATATTTCAGTCAAAGAACCTTTTTTAAATTTAACTGTTAAGAATAATAAAACATTGTCAAAGAATATTTTACGGAAAAATCGAAACATTTCATTGACTGAAGAAGTAATAAAATTCCATGGAGATGACACGCTCTCAAGAGAAATTACGGATTTGGACACTACGTACCAATTTTTTAAATATTTATGGACGGAAGAGATCATAAGTAACATTTATGAAGACAGCAAACGATATGCTATTCAAAAGAATCCAAGTAAGCCTTTGACTATATCAGAGAATGAAATAAATCAATATTTGGGTATTTGCATTTATGCATCTCTAGTTCACCTGCCAAACTATAGAACATACTGGTCAGAAGAGCTTGGATTTGATCGACTTAAAAAAACAAATCTGAAAATAAAAAAAAATCTAATGAATTTACAAAAATTCAAATTTGAAGTTGCATCATGCTTATGCAAAATGGGATATGATCAAAATGCTAAAAGAGGAAGACCTAGTATTACTTCAATAGAACAAATGTCTCAGACTAAAAGATGCAAAGGGACTGTCCAATCCGTTCCATGTAAGGACATTCGTAGAGATGGTGTAAATCATTGGCCAATATGGTCAGAAAAGAATACGGTGCAAATTTCCAACAAGAGCTACACTCAAACTGAATGCGAAAAGTGTAAAGTAGGGGACTTTTTACAACAAAGTCAATAACTCCTTTAAAAATTTTCATTGTATGTAAGGCTAAAGCAGTTTATAACAATGGATAATAAAATCCTCATATAAAAAAAGTTTTGTAATTTTACAGCACTACTGCGCAATGTTGCACTTCTGCAACAAACAAAAAAAAAAAAAAAAAAAATGACTGAAATTCAATTCAAAACTGCTTAATTTTTTTTTAATATT